TACGGTCGCTGAGTTGGCAGTTCCGTCGGTAAATCATCCGGGAAAATGTCGCTGTACTGCTTCAACAGTGCTGCCAGGTCACTCGGTACGTCGGCCAGCAGTTTCTGTAAATCCCCTCCATTGTCTGCTGCCTTGGCTTCCCGAATATCGACCGCGTACACGTCAGCTCCTGCCGCTACGGCGCGTTTCATCGTGATCGCGTTGACACGCACCGACGAAGACTCAGGTGAGCCCCAGCGAGGTAGGGCGATGTTGTTACCGTTCACTCGCACGGTGCAGTCACCCGTCGTCCAGTCGATTCGCGGATTGTGACGTCGCAGCCAATCACGCCCGAGTAAAATATCGGTTCCGTCGAGGGTCGTTGCGAGCATTTCCTGGCTAAACGTGAAGTTACCCCCACATCGAATCCGAACCCGGTCTACGCGTTCCCGTATCGCCAGCGGCGTGCCGTCTACCAGTCTTGCGTCGATCTCAGGTAAGCATCTGTCCAGTGGCAGTCGCAGTTTTCGTGCTGTGGCAGTGTTGATGAGGCTGTGGCTGGCTCCCCCGTCTACGAAGATTTTTACTAAGTCCGTCCCAATTTTCCCACTAAGCAGTATGGGGCTGTCTACCGTAGTCCCCTCCTTATTCGGTCGAGTGTGGTCGATTGCGTTAACCGGCACAATCACTCGGCGAGGGTCGGTTGGGTCGGGCGAGCGGCGTGACCTGTCAGTAGAGGGCCCGTCTGCTACTGACTCCCAGCGTTTCCCTGCTGCTTGGTCTGTTTCTGCTGCTCAGCTTCCCCCTTTCCCTTAGCGTTTTCCGGGCATTCGCTCTTACGATGTCCCGGCCGGTTGCACGCAAAGCAGCGCCCTTTGAACGGTGCGGCAGCGGCATTTGCGGCGACGGCACGTATCGTGGCGCCCTCGTTCGTCCCACGAGGCCGATGTCCCCAGTGGCTGCTTCCGTAGGACCCCGGTCTCGGCCGGCGGAAGAAATTAAGTTTCTCCGCCATAGCGAGAATTTCTTGAAAATCAGTGACGCCGCGAAGCTGGATTTCCTGAGCGATGTCCTGCTTCAGGCCGCCGATGTAGCAGTCGATGCGCTCGCTCTCGTGCATATATCCCACCTGCTCGCATAGCGCCAGAAATCCGCTCGTGTAATCTTGGACGGAACCGAGTTGGCGCCAAGTGCGGAGCTTCTGTCGCGCCGCGATCGAAGCCGCGATTGGCTCGAAACGAGCGCGCAGACCTGCGCACCACGCGTCCCACGTGCGATACTGGGGCACCTCCACGAAATACGACGGCGCCCAGGGTCCGGTTTGTCCTTCCCGTGTCGGTAGAGTCATGTAGTCCACCGGCTTCGTGACGATGACGCGCCACCAGTCCATGGCGGGTCCTCGCAGCAACGACACGGCGTAGCGAATCTTCGCCGTATCCTCCGAGACGTAGTTCGCGCCGAAAAAGACGTTCAACGTAAAGAGCCACGCCTGAACGGTAGGACCACCCCGCTGACTTGGGTCAAAGCATGGCGGACGCTGCGGCTTTAGCGGCATCGGCGACGGAAGAGTTGATTCGCCGGCCGGCACCGAAATCGTGACTCGAGGCTGAGTCCTGGCCGCATTCGTCGCGTCGGGGTGTGTCGTGCCGTGGTCGTCGTCTCCGTCATGGCGGACGACGCCATCACTTGCGGCGATCGCGGGTTGCCCCACACTTCCATGCTGTGATGTCTGTGGTGCGGGCTGAATCGGAGTGCCAGGTGCTTGGGATTGTGCCCGTGTGAGTTCGTTTTGCAGGGACGAGCGTTCTGCCGTCAGCATCGCGATTTCCTCGGCGCTCTCGCGGATCTGTCTTAGCAGATCGTTCAAGTGCTCCTGCGTAAGAGTCGTGACGTCGATATGTTCAGCCATTTCGAAGGGCGTCGGCTCGTCTTAGTCTAGGCGCAGTCGTGGCTGCACGCGTTTACGAGAGAACGCAAGGACAGCGGCTCCTAGGTGCTAAGGTACGTGAGTCCCTTCGAGTGAAAAAATAAAAGTTGATTTCCTGGGGTGCGGAGATGCGCGGTCCGAAAAGGAAAGAGGCTCTGATAACCAAGTGTTACGGGTGCAATGAATCGAGGTAGCGAGGATTGCACTAAGGTGTCAAATGAGTACAAAGATGTGGGCGAAGGCATGAGCGAACATTTATACGCGAAACATGCAAACGGTAACGCGGTGCGTACGAGCTAGCTAGTGCTATGCTGGCAGCGAGGCTCGGGCTAGTCCCGAAGCGTAGGCCAACACGGCCGGGCCAGCAGTGCGAGGTTTGGCAAAACAGTGCGCGCGAAGTTGGCGAAGTCCAGTTAACAGTAACAGGCGAACAACGGCTGTTGCTGTACGCGATGTAGTCGGGGTCCGTAAGGAATGCCGAGAAAATTCCTTACAAGGGCACAAAGGGCGGAAAAATGCTTCGTTTGAACGCCTGCACACAGTACAATGACAAAATGTTAGACCTTGGTTAGTCATATGCTTGTTTCCCACCTCAGTGACTTACCACCCGCGGGGCTTCACCTCCACTTATAACATGTGAATGTGCATGATAGCTTCTGGGTATTGATAAAAGACATGTAAATGAAAGTTCACATCTCGTGACTTCTATTAACCCTGCACATGAAAATCAACCCTGAAACACGATGACTACTAGAGCAACAGACATAAAAACGTTATCATTAGAGGCTAGATTCCAGTCAGCATGGGATAAGAACGCATTCGGTAAAAGGCTCAAGCAGAGGCAGGGAGATTCCTTCGTGCGACTACCACACCCTCTGCATTTCTCGCGCTGAAGACGGCGCGTCCCACACGATTTGCGGGCCGAAGGTCCTACGCATGCAGTGAGCATGCCGACGAGCAGTATTGGGAGGCTGGGGAAAAAAAGAAGCGCAACTGATTAATCTGAACAGGGAATGGGAGGACTGGCAGGGGCGGAAAAAAATGTACAAGTTACAAGCCAAGGCGAGAGTTTTGCACACATATCGGGAAGATAAGAACAAGTCGATTGCTCGCGAAGCATAATCCGTGAGAATAGATGAACGAGTGGAAACAAATAGATGAACGAGTGGAAACAAATATACGACTTACAACCTAAGGCACACGCACGGGAAAATGATAGCTTGGTCTCGAGTTACAGAAAGCATGTGTAGCACACCTTTCGGCGCTTTTCGCGCGAAACCCGGCGATTCCGCTACTAGTCGGTGGTGCCACATTCTCCGTGTGAAGAAAACGTTGCCGTTTAAGCTGTAAAAGGAAAGGGGAGGATGTGCGGGGGCGGAAATAATAACATAGATCTGAGTTACAAGCAGCGGTGATAAGATACAATAAGAAGATACTGAGGCACGAGATGTAGGCGAGAATTGAAGAACCTGAGCCAGTTGTGTGGAAATGAGGTAGGTGACGGGTGCTTGTACGGGAGAGAGTAAGGCACGGTGTGAGGGTAAGAAAGATATATGCTTATAGAGCTTGGAGGTGTGCTGATGTGTCGTCAAAAAGCACCGTTGATTTCTGATGTAGGCAAGAGCACACCAGTGATTGGTTAGTAAAAAATCATGTGGTTCGACCACTTCGTTACGGATTAGCTAACCTTGGTCCGGGGAAGCCACGTCAGTACCTGGAATCTGAACGCTTAGCATTGACTGGGTGTGACTGTGAACCCGTGTGCCAGTTGCCCGTTTCGATTGTTGGTTGCACCTTGGTGAGATTCGTCCTGTTATGTATCCACGTTACTGTGCTCGCAACTCTCGAGAAAGCTACTTAAAGCTGCGATCTACATACTTCGAGCGGGGGGGTCTGGTTTATCACTTGAAAACCAGGTGACCAGGTTTTTCACTCGGCCCCTTAGCCTGCAAATAGAACGGTTGAGGGGGGTGGAGAGAGGGGGGTGGGGGTCCCTTTCCCGATATCGAACTCCCCAAGTGGTTTCCGCCCTTCGGCGGACTCTTCCCCCAACCCACGAAAATGGGTTGGATTCGCGTGCTTGCGTGACTTCATCGCTCCTGTGTTTCAGAAACGAGTTGACTTCGCTTTCCAATCAGGCTGCGTGAAAGGGTGTGCATCGACAATACCCCCCAAAACGCAACTTAGTATGTAGACCGCAGCTTTAATTCGTGCGAAGCGTTCATCGATCGGATACCAGCAGCATCACACCTTGGGGGACTCTCAAGGGTTGGTCGAGACCAGGTGTACAGTCCGGTCTGGATATTTCGAAGTTGACGCTAGAAATGCGTGGTCTGAGCAACCCACGAATCCAAAATTCGCGCCTCGGGTAACCCACGTATCCAAAATGCGCGGCTCGGTTACCCCTTGTATCCGAAATTTGTGTGAGTTGCAATTTTCAGTCTATGCTTTTTGAATACGTTTCAGATACAAATCAACAACTTTCTTGCAGCCTTCAGACTTCAACTCGAATTTGGGCCAAAAGCCTTTTCCGCGATGCTCCCATCGCCCTTCCTCTCTCCCGTCGCCTATCCTTTTCGTCGCCCTTCCTCTCTCCCGTCGCCCTTACTCTCTCCCGTCGCCCTTCCTCTCTCCCGTCGCCCTTCCTCTCTCCCGTCGCCTATCCTCTCTCCCGTCGCCCTTCCTCTCTCTTGTCGCCCTTCCTCTCTCCCATCGCCTATCCTCTCTCCCGTCGCCCTTCCTCTCTCCCGTCGCGTATCCTCTCTCCTCTCGCCTATCCTCTCTCCCGTCGCCCTTCCTCTCTCCCGTCGCCTATCCTCTCTCCCGACGCCTATCCTCTCTCCCGTCGCCCTTCCTCTCTCCCGTTGCCTATCCTCTCTCCCGTAGCCCTTCCTCTCTCCCGTCGCCTATCCTCTCTCCCGTCGCCCACCCTCTCTCCCGTCGCCCTTCCTCTCTCCCGTCTCCTATCCTCTCTCCCGTCGCCCTTTCTCTCTCCCGTCGCCCTTCCTCTCTCCCGTCGCCCTTCCTCTCTCCCGTCTCCCTTTCTCTCTCCCCCTCCCATCATCCACCTCGGCGCCTTCGCGCTCACCCCGAAATGTCTGCCCGGGCATGGGGACTGGAGCTGCAGTCCCGCCTTGCGGACTGGAGCTGCAGTCCCGCCTTGCGGACTGGAGCTGCAGTCCCGGCGTGGGGACTGGAGCTGCAGTCCCGCCGTGGGGACTGGAGCTGCAGTCCCGACGTGGGGACTGGAGCTGCAGTCCCGGCATGCGGACTGGAGCTGCAGTCCCGGCATGCGGACTGGAGCTGCAGTCCCGGCGTGGGGACTGGAGCTGCAGTCCCGGCTTGGGGACTGGAGCTGCAGTCCGGGCGTGTGGACTGGAGCTGCAGTCCCGGCGTGGGGACTGGAGCTGCAGTCCCGACGTGGGGACTGGAGCTGCAGTCCCGCCTTGCGGACTGGAGCTGCAGTCCCGGCTTGGGGACTGGAGCTGCAGTCCCGGCTTGGGGACTGGAGCTGCAGTCCCGGCGTGGGGACTGGAGCTGCAGTCCCGGCATGCGGTCTGGAGCTGCAGTCCCGGCATGCGGACTGGAGCTGCAGTCCCGGCGTGGGGACTGGAGCTGCAGTCCCGGCATGCGGACTGGAGCTGCAGTCCCGGCGTGGGGACTGGAGGTGCAGTCCCGGCATGGGGACTGGAGCTGCAGTCATGGCGTGAGGACTGGAGCTGCAGTCCCGGCGTGGGGACTGGAGCTGCAGTCCCGGCGTAGGGACTGGAGCTGCAGTCCCGACGTGGGGACTTGAGCTGCAGTCCCGGCGTGGGGACTGGAGCTGCAGTCCCGACGTGGGGACTGGAGCTGCAGTCCCGCCTTGCGGACTGGAGCTGCAGTCCCGGCTTGGGGACTGGAGCTGCAGTCCCGGCTTGGGGACTGGAGCTGCAGTCCCGGCGTGGGGACTGGAGCTGCAGTCCCGGCATGCGGTCTGGAGCTGCAGTCCCGGCATGCGGACTGGAGCTGCAGTCCCGGCGTGGGGACTGGAGCTGCAGTCCCGGCATGCGGACTGGAGCTGCAGTCCCGGCATGCGGACTGGAGCTGCAGTCCCGGCGTGGGGACTGGAGCTGCAGTCCCGGCTTGGGGACTGGAGGTGCAGTCCCGGCGTGGGGACTGGAGCTGCAGTCTCGACGTGGGGACTAGAGCTGCAGTCCCGGATTGAGGACTGGAGCTGCAGTCCCGGATCGGGGACTGGAGCTGCAGTCCCAGCTCGGGGACTGGAGCTGCAGTCCCGGCTCGGGGACAGGAGCTGCAGTCCCGGCTTGGGGACTGGAGCTGCAGTCCCGGCGTGGGGACTGGAGCTGCAGTCCCGGCGTGGGGACTGGAGCTGCAGTCCCGACGTGGGGACTGGAGCTGCAGTCCCGGATCGAGGAATGGAGCTGCAGTCCCGGCGTGGGGACTAGAGCTGCAGTCCCGGCTTGGGGACTAGAGCTGCAGACCCGGCGTGGGGACTGGAGCTGCAGTCCCGGCATGGGGACTGGAGCTGCAGTCCCGACTTGCGGACGGAGCTGCAGTCCCGGCGTGGGGACTGGAGCTGCAGTCACGGCGCGGGGACTGGAGCTGCAGTCCCGGCGTGGGGACTGGAGCTGCAGTCCCGGCGTAGGGACTGGAGCTGCAGTCCCGACGTGGGGACTGGAGCTGCAGTCCCGGCGTGGGGACAGGAGCTGCAGTCCCGACGTGGGGACTGGAGCTGTAGTCGTGGCGTGGGGACTGGAGCTGCAGTCCCGCCTTGCGGACTAGAGCTGCAGTCCCGCCTTGAGGACTGGAGCTGCAGTCCCGGCGTGGGGACTGGAGCTGTAGTCCCGGCATGCGGACTGGAGCTGCAGTGCCGGCGTGGGGACTGAAGGTGCAATCCCGGCGTGGGGACTGGAGCTGCAGTCACGGCGTGAGGACTGGAGCTGCAGTCCCGGCGTGGGGACTGGAGCTGCAGTCCCGGCGTGGGGACTGGAGCTGCAGTCACGGCGTGGGGACTGGAGCTGCGGTCCCGGCGTGCGGACTGGAGCTGCAGTCCCGGCGTGGGGACTGGAGCAGAAGTCCCGGCGTGGGGACTGGAGCTGCAGTCCCGGCGTGGGAACTGGAGCTGCAGTCCCGGCGTGCGGACTGGAGCTGCAGCCCCGGCGTGGGAACTAGAGCTGCAGTCCCGGCGTGGGGACTGGAGCTGCAGTCCCGACGTGCGGACTGGAGCTGCAGTCCCGGCGTGGGGACTGGAGCTGCAGTCCCGCCTTGCGGACTGGAGCTGCAGTCCCGGCGTGGGGACTGGAGCTGCAGTCCCGGCATGCGGACTGGAGCTGCAGTCCCGACGTGGGGACTGGAGGTGCAGTCCCGGCGTGGGGACTGGAGCTGCAGTCACGGCGTGAGGACTGGAGCTGCAGTCTCGGCGTGGGGACTGGAGCTGTAGTCGTGGCGTGGAGCTTGGGGCTGCAGTCCCGGCGTGGGGACTGGAGCTGCAGTCCCGCCTTGCGGACTAGAGCTGCAGTCCCGGCGTGGGGACTGGAGCTGCAGTCCCGGCTTGCGGACTGGAGCTGCAGTCCAGGCGTGCGGACTGGAGCTGCAGTCCCGGCGTGGGGACTGGAGCTGCAGTCTCGGCGTGGGGACTGGAGCTGCAGTCACGGCGTGGGGACTGGAGCTGCAGTCCCGGCGTGCGGACTGGAGCTGAAGTCCCGGCGTGGGGACTGGAGCAGAAGTCCCGGCGTGGGGACTGGAGCTGCAGTCCCAGCGTGGGAACTGGAGCTGCAGTCCCGGCGTGCGAACTGGAGCTGCAGTCCCGGCGTGGGAACTGGAGCTGCAGTCCCGGCGTGGGGACTGGAGCTGCAGTCCCAGCATGCGGACTGGAGCTGCAGTCCCGGCATGGGGACTGGAGCTGGAGTCCCGCCTTGCGGACTGGAGCTGCAGTCCCGGCGTGGGGACTGGAGCTGCAGTCCCGGCATGCGGACTGGAGCTGCAGTCCCGGCGTGGGGACTGGAGGTGCAGTCCCGGCATGGGGACTGGAGCTGCAGTCATGGCGTGAGGACTGGAGCTGCAGTCCCGGCGTGGGGACTGGAGCTGCAGTCCCGGCGTAGGGACTGGAGCTGCAGTCCCGACGTGGGGACTTGAGCTGCAGTCCCGGCTTGGGGACTGGAGCTGTTGTCGTGGCATGGAGAGTGGGGCTGCAGTCCCGGCGTGGGGACTGGAGCTGCAGTCCCGCCTTGCGGAATGGAGCTGCAGTCCCGGCGTGGGGAATGGAGCTGCAGTCCCGGCATGCGGACTGGAGCTGCAGTCCTGGCGTGCGGACTGGAGCTGCAGTCCCGGCGTGGGGACTGGAGCTGCAGTCCCGGCGTGGGGACTGGAGCTGCAGTCCCGGCGTGCGGACTGGAGCTGTAGTCCCGGCGTGGGGACTGGAGCAGAAGTCCCGTCGTGGGGACTGGAGCTGCAGTCCCGGCGTGGGAACTGGAGCTGCAGTCCCGGCGTGGGGACTGGAGCTGCAGTCCCGGCGTGCGGACTGGAGCTGCAGTCCCGGCGTGGGATCTGGAGCTGCAGTCCCGCCTTGCGGACTGGAGCTGTAGTTCCGGCATGGGAACTGGAGCTGCAGTCTTGGCGTGCGGACTGGAGCTGCAATCCCGGCGTAAGGATTGGAGCTGAGAGAGCACAGGGCTGTGCTTTGTGATGAATCAACCTTTAACGAGTTCATCCGTGATGGCACAATCAAGCACCAGCGCCAAGGAGGCAGCTGGTTGAAGCTCATGTCCAGGACATAAGGAATGGGATGCATTCATTCTCACCGCACACAACTGTTTCTCACCGCGCTAAATTCCTTCTCACCACACGTAACTCTTTCTCACCGCACACAACTCCTCCCTGTCAGAATCCCAGCCACTAGACCACTGGGATAAAAGGGCTTGTTTGTGTAGCGGGTAAGTGCGCCCATAACCCCCCAGGCCAACATGCCTGTAACCCTTCCCTAGGATCAATCGGGGATCACCAGTGGACCTCTGACACCCCCCCGCACTGGGATGCCCGAAGTGCACACACCGGGATTCGAAACCGAGACCTTCGCTCTGATACCATGTCAGAATCCCAGCCACTAGACCACTGGGATAAAAGGGCTTGTTTGTGTAGCGGGTAAGTGCGCCCATAACCCCCCAGGCCAACATGCCTGTAACCCTTCCCTAGGATCAATCGGGGATCACCAGTGGACCTCTGACACTCCCCACCGTCGCCTCGCTGTCAGTCACCTACAGGGATGCGCATGCCACTAGTGGCGCCAGGGAAGCGTCTCCCAGCTGGTTGTATCTCACGTCTAGCACCTGGGGGGTTGGGGGGGGTGGACGGGTGAGGAGAGAGAGAGCGAGAGCATGGTGGGGGGGTGAATCGACTCTCGCCCTTCCTCTCTCCCCTCCCATCACCCACCTCGGCGCCTTCGCACTCACCCCAAAATGTCTGCCCGTCGCCCTACCTCTCTCCCCTCCCGTCACTCACCTCGGCGCCTGCGCGCTCGCCCCGAAATGCATGCGCGTCGCCCCTCATTTCTCCCCTCCCAACACCCTACCATTCCGCAATTTTTCTCACTCTGCTCTCTTTGTGCGTTCTCGTTTCCGTCTCCCTATCCCTTTTTAAATCTCTAACTTGAAACTCTATGTATTTCTCGCATTCCGGTTTTCCTATGCTGTTTTTGCCGCTCCAGCAGGTCCATGTCCAAGGCGTTTGTTAGTGCGTGAATTGCACATGCAACACTTGTTGATATTGGCACACCGTGTGATTGGGATCTGCACGTCGCAAACTTGTGATGTATTTGCCCCTGTTTTTGCGACAAAATGTGAAGTTTTCTTTGTGAAGTCGAACGTCTGTGAAAACCACAACAGAACAACATTTCGAATTTCAGAAGCATTACAAAGTTAGTATGAGATTTCAAGTGGACCCACTAGAAGGGGGGGGAGGGGGGTCACTATTTTAGCTGCTGGCATTAAAACAAGCTACCTATTTAGACACCCCCCCCCCCCCCTATGGCTGATTTTATTAGGGTAATTACCCTGATTTCAGGGTGATTTCAAACTTCTCACTTGCTGGTCCCTGTGAAATCAGGTTTTTCACATTTTGATCCCTAATCCATTCAGAGTATTGGTTTAGCGGACCTTGAAATTCTCTGTACACTCTCAGTGTAGTGTTTTCCTGGACCCTGTCAATACAGAGTACGCGACCTGTGGACCCTGAAAGCGAAGCTTCGTCCCGATACCCCCGCATTTGGGTAATTATGATTTTACACGTAACCATGTGGGGGATTCGTTTCACGCGCACAAGAGACATAATACTGACAGAGAATACGACTGTCCTTTGTACAGCATCGATGTACAGCACAGCTGTCAAACTTGACAGCGCAACTAGAAGCATCATATCTACAGCCACGCGCACTGCGTAAAGCACGTGTCCCTCATTGGCGGGAGACACATAGTGGCAGTCGTCTCTGACAGTGAGGCGGTCGTTTAATGTATTCGGCCTGCATGAAGGGCCGAATACAATGACGGCTCGATGTGATGACCACCGCGACATCAATGTCGTGGCGACGCGGTGTATTCTTGCTGACCCCACCTTCTTCGGCCATCTCTTGCTTTCCCCTTCCCACAGCCAGGGTCTTGTTGGTGCTGCTGTTATGTTCACATTGTTCAATTCATTTCTCCGTTTCTCTCTCTCCCCCTCTCTAGCTTCTCCCCGCCATGGAAGGCCAGTAGGCTGACGAAGACTCGCCTCAGGCTGGCTCAGATGAGCCACCGTTACCGCCGAAAGCCACCGACGCAACTGTGCCGGAGAAACCTTCTGATGCACGTCGCTCGGGGCTTGATTTTCTTAGAGGTTCCCGCTGCTCCAGTAATACCTGATCCACCTAGGTCTACCATAGATGATTCTGCAGTTAAAGACATGCCCAAACCCGAAGAGTCTCCCCGGGAGGCCGCCTTCACTCTACCCCCGGCTGTTGCTTCTTGTAGCAAAGATCCACCACCGGTCGCGCCAAGTCCCACACCAAGCACCGTGCGGGTGTCTCTTGGTCCTCCGTCAGCTACCTCCACCCCGAAGAGAGCGCGTTCAGAGAAGTGGGCGCAGCATACCCTGCTCATCGAAGGCCGCCGTCCTACAGCTTCGAACACTCCCGCTGATCCAACACCTGATGAAGCCGCTATGGCAGAGGAAGATGCCATCCCGATCCGCGCGGACACCGGCTCGCCCGCCCTCACCAAGGCGCAGCTACGGGAGCAGATGTACCTTGAGGCCAGCATCATGTACGAGACGAGGTGGTCGGGACAGTTCTCTTGGCTTCCGTTTGGGAAAACCAAGGACGGGTTTCCCTATGTGAAGTGCAGCGTCTGCATGTCCTACGGGAAGGAGAACACGAGGTACGCGAGGCAGGGTGATGACGGTGGTCGTGACATGCAGACGCAGGCGTTTCGAGCCTACAAGCATACGGACACGCACACAGCGGCTGTTGATCGGCAGCTGAAGATTGCGAGGGGCATCCGCGAGGGGCAGCAAGTGATTTTGCACTTCATCAACTCGGACGTCGAGGGCAGGCGCGCCGTCCGACTGTTGCGGTCGATTGTGTTTCTGTGCAAGTGCGACGCGCCGATAAGCATGTTCCCGAAGCTGATGCGGCATCTCGTGGAGCAGGACACGCTCGACATCCCGAGACAGTCTTACGGTGTCTATCTCACACGGTAGGACCTTTTGGTTTCAAAATTGTTGTGTTAATTGTGTTCTATGAAATACTTTTCGACTGGTTACTAACTAGTTGAGTTACATCCCTGCGCAGGTACGGCTTCCAGCAGATGGTTCACTGCCTTAGTACCTACTTGACGAACGTGCAGATGGACCACATCAACTCCTCCCCGTTCCTGGGCCTGAGCTGTGACGAGAGCACCGACCGAACGCGTGGTAAACACATGATTGTTTATCTTACCTTCATCAAGGACTGCCGAGTCGTCATCGAATTCTTCACCCTTCTGATTGTGGAGAAGTGTGATGCCGCATCCCTGTTTGAGGTGCTCATGAATCATCTGCGCTCCGCATCTGTCGACGTGTCCAAGATTGTCGGAATCAGTACGGACGGGGCTTCGGTCATGACAGGGAAGGACAACGGATTGGTGGCGCGGATTCGGGAGCACGTCCCGCATCTGTTTTCCAGTCACTGCATCGCTCACCGGTAAGATTTACTGTCAGTAAATGATCCACTTCATTTTGCCAGAGTGTTCTCTAATGTTCAAATTTTTATGATGAGTGTTGCTGACTGAAGCCTCGAGCAACGTACCGAGCCTTGAAGACAGGCGGAGAACCTGGCGGCCGCTTCACCGTGAAAATCCACATGCCACTGACGATGTTCGCCCCAGGAGGGGGAACCTCGTCGACGTAAGTGCCAGTGGACTTCCAGGATGCCAT